AAACCCCAATGCTCCTGTGTGGGACTGTGCATAAACTGGCACAGTCGGTTGACCGCATAGGATATATCCGGTCGAGTGATGGAAAGGTACTGAAGTGCCCCCGCTAGCCGTCTGTATTGCGTCGGATTATCAAAAAGCTCATCGGACTGGCTGACTGGCTAAGTAATAGACGCTGGTGTGGCTAGCGGCTTGCAGTCTGTCATGCTCGCTCATTGCAGAATGTCTCGTATGTACCGCCGCTGTGTGAGAATCATACCACCTGGAACGGTGATGGTTTCTATGCCAAGGAAGAAAGTCGGTGCCCCGAGATCCCTGATTTTAAACGCCGTAGCTAGCCGCTGTAGTAGAAACTCAACTAAGGTGGCGTCATTTCCGAGCATGATGATATCGTCTACATATACAAGCAGGAAAACACGAGAGTCTGCAGCTGAGTAGTGAAACAGAGACACATCTGTTTTGGAGGCAATAAACCCTGTTACAAGTAAGAAATTGTGTAGACGGTGAAACCAGGCCCGCGGGGCCTGTTTAAGCCCGTATAAGGAACGTCGTAAGTGACAGACATGATCAGGGTGATTAGGGTCCTCATATCCCGGTGGCTGGCGCATGTAGACAGTCTCAGACAAGTGTCCATTCAAGAAGGCGTTGTGGACATCCAGCTGACGGAGTGTCCACCCGCGTGATATGGCAAATGACACTAATATCCGAACTGTGGTTGGTTTGACCACGGGACTAAATGTCTCGAAGAAGTCCTCGCCTGCAACCTGGTTGAAACCCTTGGCCACCAGCCTTGCCTTGTAGCGCTCAACCGAACCATCGGCTTTGCGCTTAGTGCGAAACACCCATTTGCACCCCACAACGTTCATGCTCGGTGTAGCAGGAACTAGCTGCCACGTGTCGTTATGAAGTAACGCATTGAACTCTTGGTCCATAGCGTCTCGCCACTGTGGATGCCCAACTGCTTGGGAATAGCAAGTCGGGTCCGCAGTTGAAGCTGTGAGTGCCTGAAGTTGTTCCCCAGTCCCTTTTGTCATACGCCGTAGCCGCATGACGTGGGCCCGTTCCAGGAGCCGTGTTCGTGGACCCCTTTTCCTCGTTGCACGAGCCGGTGCACAAGGAACCGGTGGTGCTGGTGCACTTGGTGGTGCTGATATGGTACCACTTCCACTTTGGAGAATGGGACTAGAGCCCCATGGTACACTTTGGATCTCAGGTGGCACTTCTCGAACTTTGGGACGAGTTTCTGCAAAAGGAAAAATGGACTCGTCAAAGCGGACGTGACGGCAAGTGTAGGTCTTCCCGGTGTCCAGGTTCATGCAGCGGTAACCCCTAAATGATGGTGGGTAACCTAAGAAGACACAGGGACTCGACCAGTACTCGATTTTATGACGGTTATACGGACGGAGATAAGGAAAACAAAGACACCCAAACACACGTAGATATGTGTACGTGGGTGGGGCTTTGTACAGGCGGTAATAGGGTGTATCAAACTGGAGTGGAGCAGACGGGAGTCGGTTGATTAGGAAGGTGGCTGTTTCAAACGCGTGATCCCAATAGCGTTGTGGGACAGACGCTTGTGCCATTAGCGCCAAGCCGGTCTCGACAATATGCCGATGCCGGCGTTCTACACGGCCATTTTGCTCGTGTGTGTAGGCGCATGATTGCCTGTGGACAATCCCTAACTTTGTGAAAAGTTTGTGTAATTTTTGGTATTCCCCTCCCAAATCGGACTGGATGGACTTGATAGAACACGAAAAGGTGCGTTCTACCGTCGCCCGAAAAATATCAAAGATTTTATATATGTCGGTTTTAAGACGTAGAGGATAATACCAACCGTAGCGGGTGTTATCATCTACGAATAGTACAAAATAACGGGAACCAACCGCAGAAATAACTGGTGCGGGGCCCCATATATCAGTAAAAACTAAATCGAGTACATTATTACTTGACTTGACTACCCTATCTAAAGGAAATCGGGCAGACTTGCCAAGTTGACACGGAGCACACAATTTAGGAACAGTGGTTTTATTGGACTCAACGGGGCATTCTCGTAGAACACGATGAAGCGCCTGACTGTGTGGGTGACCGAGACGCTGATGCCAGACCGCGGAAGTGGCGCGAGCCGAAACAAAAGCATAATGCGCGCTAGGAACTGACAGCGAATACAAGCCCCCCGAGCTTGGCCCTTTAAGCAAGACCGCCTGAGTGATGCAGTCCTTCACAACAAAAAACGTGGGGTGAAACTCAAAATAGCAGTTATTATCTCTAGAAAACCGATTAACAGATAATAACGATGCAGACAACTCAGGAACATGTAAAATACTGGACACTTTTAAAGATTTATTAATAGATGGAATTGCTGCATGACCCACACGCGAGATGGCCAAACCTGTGCCATCGCCCACTCGCAACACGTCGTCACCGTGATACTCCTCGGATTGCGTGAGCATGCTGGAATCGGGGGTAGCATGCATTGAGGCCCCCGTGTCTGGGAGCCAGGTGGTCACCGAGGGCGAGGATGCCGGCGCTGGACCGCCACCTGCAACGCAACATGAGCAGTCGGCGGCGGTTCGGAGTACCGCCGGTAGCAAAATGCGGCGGAGTGCCCCTGCTTGCTGCATATTTGGCAGTGCACCCCACCTGACCGACCGCGGCCTCCTCTGCCGCCTCGTTGATTGCCGCGTCCTCCACCACCACGTGACTGCCGGCCGCCATCTCCATGCTGACGACGACCACCGCCACCACGCGATGCGTACATCGCCGACGGAGACCCGGCCACTGCTGCCGATGTGTGCGTCGGGAAATCATCCTCATGGATGAATTGTTGGGCCTGGAGAAAATCCGCCAACTGCGGAATGGAAACGGGCGTTCCGTTGATCGCCAATGCGGACGCCATTGACCGGAATTCTGGCCTTAAACCGCGAAAGACGTATAGATTCTGCTCCGACGGCGTGAGAGTTCTCCCGGCAAGTGCGAGATCCTGAACAAGATGCTGCGCCCTGCCCAGATATTCGGAGGTGGAGCTGTCTCCTTGGCGAAGGGATTGGATCTGCCCAAGCAGATTGAGACACCGAACCTGCGTGGATGATCCTAAGGCCGTCTCTGCTGCAGTCCAAACACCACGTGCGGTGGTTTGTCCAAGAGCTAGATACATCACCTCCTCAGACAGTGAGGAGATTAAAAGAGAGAGGATTGATGCGTCCTGCTGTACCCAGGCTGCATACGCCGGATTCTCCGTCGTGGAGATGTTGTCGCTGGAGTTGCTGCCGGCGGGGACCTCTAGGAATGGTGAGGGCTGCGACCGTGTACCATCTACGAAGCCCAGCAGACCTTGACCCCGGAGGAACGGGATCACCTGAGTCCGCCAGTATAAGTAATTCCGATGGGTAAGCTTGAGCGACACAAAATGATGCGCGCTCGTTAAAGTGTTGGGGGAATTATTTGGGGAGGAGATGGTGGTCACGGTGCGCTCAGAGCTATTGGACATTGTCGATGGAGGGGAAAAAAAAAATTGCGTGGAATTTGCCTGACTAACTGATACCAGATGAATGTGGAAAGAGATAATCAATTCAATAACTGAAACAGATTACAATTAATACTCTCTGGAGAGAGAACTAACTAATAGCCACTAGACTAGGACTAATCTAGACTACATCATAACATAACATTATTAATAATAATAATAAACTATAGTCTAACAATTACGAACATAGAACTGTGTCCACATTGCAAAGTGGACACAGTTCCACAACATAACTATTCGATTCACCGTGTTACATGTAGTATCTGTTCATATAAACTTTCTCAATCTATTGAAGCCCAACGTTTTAAAAGGCTCTTATTTAAGAAACCTATTGAAGCCCAACGTTTCAAAAGGCTCTTATTTAAGAAACCTTATTTTAATGGCTTCTTATTTTAGTTTTTTTTTTTTATATATAAATTTATTAGGGGTTTTGGTTAAGATTAACCCAAAATGTATATGTGTTGTTATAGTTTTTAGCAGTTTGGAGCAAATTGCTAAGTTATTAAATAATATTTTTGATATTTTGATTAAATATAAAATGTTAAACAGGTGAATTTTTTTAAATTTTAGAGAATTCTCCAAATAATCAAATAACAATAACAATAACAATAACAATAACAACAACAACAACAACAACAACAACAATAATAATAATAATAATAATAATAATAATAATAATAATAATAATCCAAACAAAACTATATAAAAATAAAATTAAAAAAAAACAATAAAAAAAAAAAAAACAAAGAGGAGTCAGAGACTCCTTTTGTAAATGAGAGAGCTCATCTATATAAGAGGAGCAAAACTCCTCTTACAAATATAATTAATTACTTGCATATCAATGTGGGCAAGTATTGAGAAGTCAAAAGGTTCTTATTTAAGAAGTTTCAGCGTTGTGTTCTTATTTTAGTTTTTATTAATTTATTTATTATTTATTTATTATTAGTGGGGGTTTGGAAAGATTAACCCAAAATGTATGTGTTGTTTTAGTTTTTAGCAGTTTGGAGCAAATTGCTAAGTTATTAAATAATATTTTTAGTTTTTTTGATTAAATATAAAATATTAAATAGACGAATTTCTTAAAATTTTGGTAAATTTCCCAAATAATCAAATTACAACAACAACAACAACAACAACAACAATGACAATGACAACGACAACGACAACAACAACAACAACAATAATAATAATAATAATAATTATAATAATAATAATAATAATAATAATAATAATAATAATAATAATAATAATAATAATAATAATCCAAACAAAACTATATACAAAATAAAATTAAAAATAACAAAAAAAAAAAACAAATAAAACAAAGGGGAGCCACATGCTCCCTTCGTAAATGATGCGGGTTCATTTTCATCCCAAATTGAAAATGTTTGAAAAGAAGAGCTCTTGAGCTCCTCCATATAAGAAGTACAAACATAATTGTTTGCCCATCGATGAAGCGAGTATTGAGAAGTCAAAAGGTTCTTATTTAAGAAACTTTAGTTTTGTCTTCTTATTTTAGTTTTATTTATTTATTATTTATTATTTATTATTTATTAGTGGGGGTTAGGAAAGATTAACCCAAAATGTATGTGTTATTTTAGTTTTTAGCAGTTTGGAGCAAATTACTTACTTATTAAATAATATTTTTGGTGTTTTGATTAAAGATAAATTGTTAAAAATGGCGAATTTGTCAATAATCAAATAATAATAATAATAATAATAATAATAATAATAATAATAATAATAATAATAATAATAATAATAATAATAATAATAATAATAATAATCCAAACAAAACGAAATACAAAATAAAATTAAAATTTAAAAAAAAAAATAAGAAGAAGACAAAAGGGAGTTGTTAGACAAAAAGATATATCTTCCATACAAATGAATAAGGATAACAATTCATTTCTATAACTGAGTTGTTAGAGAACGAACACATTTGCAATGTATAAAAATACTAAACAAATAAAATCTTCAAAATTACAGGACCGCATGTGTACATCTAGACATTAGCTATTAATTTGAGCAATTATTTGCACAAATTCAAGCAATGATAACATCAAAATATATAAACGATTCAAATTATATCTTTAATTGCACTATATAATATTTGATGTTCTAATTAAATAATTATATATCGATTTATATTTTCTTAATATATTACAACAAATTCATTCTGTGCATCGCACGGGTGTAAATACTAGTAAATATCAAATTATACATCATGCAATCAATCCAAATCTCAATTTCCATTTCTAAATTCTAAATAAAAATAATTAATATACTTACACTACAATATAACATATTAACATACTATAATATAATATTTATAGTGAGTTTTTTAATTATTTTTATTATTTATTTTCATAAAATTAAAAAATATTTTATTTGTAATAAATTTACTAATATATTTTAAAAACTTAATAAAAAAGATACTAAAATGAACTTACAAATAAATTTTATGTACATTTTATTGCACATCACTTCTTTAACAAAAATTAGCCTTTTAAGTAGCTATTATTGGACTTATCAAATTAAACTAATTTTTTATATAATTAAAATATTTTGGTCCAAAGTCCAAACCCTAAAAATTTTCAATTTAACAGTTCATAAATTTTATGATAAGATTAACATCCCTAATTAACCACGCAAAAATACAAAATATAAGATCAATTAATAATTTTCTAAATTTTCTAGTAACTTGGAGTTCAAGTAAGTTTTCGTATATAAAAGTAAGAGCTGGACAACTCAAGTTCCAGTCAAATAAGGATTAGCAAACACGTCTCCTAATCCGCTATTTATTAAAGCTGAGCAGAAGAGAAGAAGAAGAAGAAGATCAGATCAGAGGAAGAGAAATAGGAAGAAAGGATTAATGGAGGAGAGTGGTTTTGACGACGACTATTCCGACTATTACACATTCTATTCTGTGCGGCCGTATCCCACAGTCGTAGAAGATTGCGCCGCCTCTTCTGCGCCGTCTGGGCCTCACGTCTAGACCACATAGTCTTGTTCTTCTTAGTCTAAGTTAAATACCACTATAATTGTTTTTTTTTGCTAATTAAAGTCACAAGATTTGATTCACTCAAAGGATACTTTCGAATAAAGATTGTGACAGTTTATTTTTAGTCCTTTTTTATCATAACATTCTCATTTGGTCCTAAGATTATTATTTTGACATGACATTTTTTGTCATCCGTCAACAAAAGCGTTTAAATGCCCTAAAATATAATGGCCTTTCGATATTCAATTATGATTTTTTTTTAAAAAAAAAATAAACATAAAAATATAGCGGGTCAAACTACTTTGTATAATAAAAAAGATGGAAATGTACTTGTATTTAATGGCATTTTAACGATTTTGTTTTGGCGGAGAACACAAAATAGAAATGTCATAATAATACTAAAACCAAATAAGGATGTTCTGATAAAAATGACTAAAAGTGGACTACTACTTATAAATCTAGGATCAAAAATGGAATTATCTCTTTCTATAAATTGAAGATATCAGTAATATCTATTCAGAGTTTGATCATATGACCATTCAATTAAAATGGTAAAACATTATATAATAGTGGAATAAGATTCAAATTGACAACTGAATGTAACTTGAAAGTGCAATTAGACCACTAAACGAAAAAAACAATGTAATTAGGCCACTGAACACTCCAAATGTATGCAATTTCACTTGATAGCAGGTTTCCATTCATTTCAACAGGTTGCATGTTTACGTGGAATATGAATAGACATTTTAAATAATTAATTAATACTATTTTCCTTTAGACAAAAAAAAAAAAAAATGAAGGAAAATGTTACTCTACCCTAGCTACTAAAATCACTTCATATTATTCATTCTTTCAAATGTACTTCACTTTATATATATAAGCATAATGGATATGTAATTTTGATTTTTTTTTTATAATCTATGTTGGAGTCGAGTGGAGCTCAAGCTCACAAAATTAAAATTTGGTTGAACTTGAACTTTAATATTTTTTTAAAAAATTAAGCTGACTTTTGAGTTTTGTTTATTCAAGTTTAACTCGCCTCAATTAATCCCTTTACATTGACATATATTATATACAGAGTATATCTATAAAAAAAATTACTAATAGCCCTAAAATTTATTATTATTATTTTTTAAAAAGCCAATTAATTACATTAGCTATAGGATGTCAATCGGACCAGTTCATTCGATTTTGTACTAACTCTATTGGGTCGTCAGGCTTATCAGTTGGGACTTATCGTTTTTCTTTTTGGGTCGGGTTCAAAATTCTTGGCCTTACTCGTAAAAACTTTATACTGTTGAGCTTATCGACCAGGTTCATCAATAACTTTCGACATTTTCAAATTAATATTTTAAACTTTCAATTTAAATAAATTAACATATTTACACTAATAAATATAAACTTATTGATAAGTGTTTAATTGTCTATATTTTTCTCCCTTTCACTAAGCCATTTTGCTCTTAGATTATTCCAAATTTCATTAGTTTAGGACTAATTTGTGTTATTTTGCAAGAAATTTGGTTTGAAAAGCTTTGGAAGCAAAAATGAGTATTTTCATGACCTTTGGTGGTCATTGGAGTCAAAATGAGCGTTTTGGATGCATTGGAGTCAATGGGAGCCGAGGAGAAGCTAAGAGGATGGCTAAAACACTTCCAACGGAGCCTAATGGCATGTTTGGTTCATGGAATAGGTCAGGAATGGAATAACATTCCTTGGAATAGACCTATTCCATCGTTTGGTTGGATCATTTTGTCATGGGAATAACATGCCTAGGAATGAGCTATTACCTTCGCAAGGGGAATAGCCGTTCCTAGGGGGGCTTTGGTATTAGCTATTCCCATGCCCTTGGGAATAGCTTTTATATCACAAATACCAAAAATACCATTTGCACATTATATAATATTTATATTTATTTAATAAATATAATGTATTATATAAATGTATATATTTAATCAATTAT